AAATATATAAGGTAATGTAATTTTAAACAAAATAATATAAATGATATTAGCAGTTATAAAGTTTTAAAAGCGAATTACTAATTAAATTACTAATCGAATTTACAGCACCCATTTTTTCAAAAACTGAAGGTAACTGAAGGTAGCCGGTCTATTAACGACATTGGGGCGTCAAATATCTCAGTCCTCTTCGTGACCATGGGTGCTGTACTGCGCCCGAAACGTCGGGAATCAAAAATAAGTAAAAAAAAATAAGTTAATTAAACGCGATAAAATCAATATTAATAGTTTTATTCAATGTGTAGTGTAGTGTAGTGTTCGCGTAAATATAAAAAAATCATTAAATTTCTAATTATTTAATTATGTACATTCTCCACAATACAGGAGAAAATCCTAGTATTTTTTATATGATAGGGTGACAAACGAGCACACAGTCCACCTGATGGTAAGTGGTTGCTGTGGCCCATAGACATCTACATCTATGAACGAATATGCAGATAGAACGCCTCGTTTCCAGTAAAAAGGGTCTCCGGTTCTCTACACTCACCGTACGAAACACAGCAGCATTAAGCTATTATTTTACGCTGGTATTCTGTGTAAGCGTGGTCCTTCCCCGGTCGAGCCGAACCATTCATGTTTCTGTATATATTACTCTACTCTATGCATTCATGCTACAACTATACTTCTAATATAAATATAACGGCAGCATGGCTCCCGTTATATTTATATTAGAACGTACAAAATTTTTAATAATAGATAAAAGAATAATTCAAAAAAGATAAATTTTTGAAATTATTTTATATTTATTATTTAAATTATCCTTTTAATAGGTTCGTGCGTAAATCGAAATCTTGCCGATAGAAAAAGTTTGATCATATCCGAGAAGAAGTAGTTTCAAAACTTTCCAAAAACTTTTTATTTTCCTTTTCTCCTAAGTTTATTTTATAATATTGAATACTAATAATTATAATATTTACATTATTAAGCTATTGCATAGCTTCTATCGCGGGCCTTGAGCGCGGGGACCGAATCCAGAAATTTCGTAACGAAAAAAAACCTCACGCTCCCCACTCCGACGGGCACGGAGGTGTGGCGTTGAAAGCCGTGCATCGTCTAACGTCGTTTTAGTTCCGCAGACTTCGGCACTCGGCAGAGTTCGGCACGGTGTTTGTGTGCGTGCGACGTATGCGTGTACACTAGCTGCTAACTCAATGATAAAAATTCCTGAATAACCTACATGTATTGTAAGATATTAAAAATATTTTAAACAATATTAACTTCTCATTTATTCAATAAGAGAAAAAAATTGTTTCAAATCGGTCACCACTCTCAAAAAGTGTACTTGATTTAATATCAAAGACTTAACTGCATAAATAAAATAAATAAATAATTATAATTGCATAAGTTGATAAAAAATGCTATGCAATAGCTTTACCGCGGCAGTCACCGAGTGCCACACGTATTTTATAATAATCTTATGAAAAGCAAGAATTTTGTAATTTCAGATTAAGAAATGGTTCCAGAAATCTTGGTGCGTTACTGTCATATATCGATAGCAAGAAAGCAGTTGAATTTTTATAATTAATAAAACCAAGCATCCATGAAAATTTGGGTAGGTATTTGTTTTTTTATCGATTTTTATTCAATATATGAGGTATTACTATTAACTCCAATTAATCCCTCCTTAGTTCCACCCATAACGTCCATCTTAGACATTTTAGTACCTCACAAGAAGGAAAATTAATAAAAATCAAAGATAGAAATGACTCAAAATTTGCTTCCTGCAGTAAATCATATTATTACTCCCAGTGGGAAGTTATTGTAATGGGTCCGATTTTGCAAATTAGAAATTTAAACATAACACGTTTCAAGGTCTTTAGAGTAGAATAGTATAGTTTTTAAGAGAATGTCCGTGTATGTACATGTACTTATGTATTTATGTATGTACGTATGTTCGGATACAATTTTCGCCTCGAGTATCTCGAGAACAAAGAGTGATATTGACATGGGACCAGTTTCATTTAACGTATAATTATGTAACTTAGACCTCATTAAATTTTGAGCAAAATCGGTCAAGTCGTATTTTGTGCCGAATGAAAAATAGTGTAAAATATTAAAACATATGATATTTTTTATTAATTTAGTCGTGTGGACCTTTCGGATAGACCGCTTTTTTGTAATAGATTTACTGCAACTTATCCCTTTCAGTTTGAAACCAGATTAAGTGCATATATGTAATTTAATTTACAAATGTAGTAAGTAATTTAATTAACAAATCAAAATATAATTTTTCACACATTTAAATGCCTTTTATAAGCGAGATCATTTACAAAAATAATCTCTAAATAAAATATGTGAGATCACGTATTTTAATGCTGGCAGCATTAACTATCGAATATTAAGTGCAATATTGGGATTTTTAAGGTATATAGTGTAATTGTAACTATAATACTGAACTTGAATAGAAAAATAAAAGTTTACTACATAATATATACTATCGTAAAATAGTAGCTTAATGCTGTTGTGTTTCGTATGAGTGTAGATAATCAGAGGCCCTTTTTACTGGAATCGAGGCATTCCATCTTAGTCCTCACGAATGACAATAGTAGATGTATATGGGCCACAGTAACCACTTATCATCAGGTAGAATGTGTACTCGTTAGTCATCCTATCCTATAAAAAAATATCAATATAAAAATATGTATCCATTTCTATTAGAGACCCGCTGGGAGCAACATATAAATCTACAATAACTTATCACATAAAATATAAACAGGTGCCCTAGCATCCTTTAAAAATCTATTATACATTTCATTTTCAATATTTCGAATGAATAATTTATTCGCCAGCCTCCCCCTCGACCTAGATCGAACAGTTGTTTCGTCGGAAAGACGAGACCAATCTTTAATCGGACCCCACTTTATTACAGAGTACAGTGTATAAAATAAAGCCATAATGGAGGACAAATTATGCGCTTGTAGTGACAAGTGCGCGCTCCGTATGTCAGGGTGTCCGTCACAAGCGGCAAAAAACAATGGTGAATGGTGATACACACGGCTTGATAGTTTATATATTTAATTTCTGTAACTAAAATTACTATCCACTTTGAATTTCGTAAAGTGAATGACGTGACGGTAGAAAATGACGGATGTTTCATGTTATGTCGAAATTTTCCGATAATTATATCGCCGAAAAAGGCCAGTCTCTAAACAAGATATAATTTTATGAGAGCTTACATTCTTTAATACTCCTTTCGACGTACTAATGTTAAAAAAAAGGAACTGGCACGTTTCACAGGAACTAATCGCTGATACTAATTGGCAGTAGGACTATCAAAACTCGCGTTCGAAAATCAAAATTATAAATCCAGAAATGACGACTGAATTATGTATGTCACGAAAAAAAAACGTAGCTACGGTGCTACTGACTGGGGAGCCGCGGCTGCACAGCCCATCGTATTATCACCAAATAACACCCTAATACTATGCGATTACAATGGTTCCCTTGTAACACGGGTCATGAATTCCTTTATTATTCGCATCACTTTGGTTACATTTGTGCGAAAAAAGACTAAAAGAAGATTATTATGACAAGCCCCAACGCCTTCATACTGACCAACAAAGCACCAATTCAGATTCTCATATTATGTATTACATAATTACAAACGGAAAACCAGTAGAATAAGTAATTGTTTTACATTCAATTGCTGTTATGGACCTATTTTTTCGACTATAGGTAGCAACAAAAATAATTTGTATTTTGTGAAACATCAGAAAAACAATACATAGAATTACTGAAAGGGGATCACTGACTTTATTTTGTGCTGGGAAGGTCTGGGCAGAAACAAGATTCTCGTAAATTAAAACACAATTGTTAGAAGCATTCAAAAACATCGTTCTTGACATGAAATATCTGTAAACATTTTAAAGAAATAACAAAACCTAATAGAGTGAGAATAATCTTATAATGAATTAAAAGTATTGCAAGTTTTTTTTTCAGATATTTTGAAACAACTATTCCTAAATAAACACTTAGTAAAGTAAAGTAAGTTACAGCCTATATACGTCTCACTGCTGAGCACAGGCCTCCTCTCATTTCTGAGAGGGTTTAAACTCATAAATTCTTGATGTCGACAATTGTAATATATAATTCTAAGTCTAACATTCATAAATATGTATTTATGAATCAGTTCACAGTTCACAGTCCACCTGATGGTAAGTGGTTTCTGTGGCCCATAGCCATCTACATCTATCCTCGATTACGAATCAAAATGCAGATGCGTTGTCACCCGTGAGGACTAAAATGGAATACCACGTTTCCAGTTAAAAGGGTTTCCGGTTTTCTACACTCACCATACGAAGCATAGTAGCATTAAGCTACTGTTTCAAGCTGGTATTCTGTGAGAGCGTGGTCCTTCCCCGGTCGAGCCGGCCAATTCGTCCTACAACTATACTACTAATATAACTGCAGCATGGCACTATCACGTATAAATTATGTATGCTGCGATCTAACTGTGTAGTGGCGGTGAAAGCCACCATCCCAAATCGTGCCGTGGGCTCAGAGGCGAACTAATAAACTAAAACTAAACTTCCGGATTAAAACTCAAAATGGTAAAAATTGCGGTTGCCAACTCGCCTGCCAAGCTTGACAACTTAAGTAAAATCCTATGAGGCCTGTGTTGAGCTACGGACTTTTATAGTCTCGAATAGATGGTTTGATAGATACAACGATCGGAAATTTCAGAAAAGGGGACATCTCATCTTTTAATAATTTACTCTAATTTTCAGATTAATAATTCTATTACGTTAATATGTTTACCGTTTTGTTCACACACTTTTTGTTCACAAACCTTGTATATTTGTTTATTTTAAAACAAACAATGATGTATTGAACACTTAAATTTTAGATTTGCATTGCACACTCACTGTGATAGTTAATATACGTTTGAAGTCAACAAATGGTAAATCAGTAATATATTTTTGGTTAAAAAAAATAATACTTACGAGCAACTTTCATTTTTCTAATACCATCAAGATCTTAGTTTGTTTTTGTTTTTTAATGGAAACTACATAAACATCGTCTTAACTTATTACAGTACTACAGTGCTTGTCAAACCTGACAAGAGATCAATGTTACAGCGCACGCGCATTTACTACAATATAACATTTACTTTAACTCTATTACCTACAGTCTAAAATTGCGTAAAACGAATCTACTTTTTAGCGCATGGCTTTTAGACCACTTCAACTGAAGACGAGTTCTCCGATTTTTAGTTTACGTTTATAGCTTCTAGATGGCGCTGAACAACGTCAATGATGAGGTGTGGACTGAGTAATCAACCAACACTCAAATGGTATGAATTAGAGAAACTACGTGACGCCTAGATAGAAATTTCTTATAATGCCTTACTTGAAACATTTATCGTAATATTTTGTTCTGCGACATAAACATATTTTTTATGCTCGCTGCCAAACGGAACACTTATTGAATCACCTTGGTGTATGCTTGTACGTCTGTAGGTCATAGTCGTTTTTTATTATGCGGCGTTGTTCATTATAGAGTGACTGAGTGACCTCAACGAAAACGTAAGGTTTAAAGTCTATATATGGAATTAGAGATGCGCCGAGTAGCAGTTTTGCCGAGTAACGAATACCGAGTTTTATTCGGTTAAATTTTTTTCCAACCGAGTACTCCGCCGAGTAACTCGGTTCAATCAAATTCCTGTTTCGGGCGCGTAAACAAGTACAAACAATAGGGTGCGATGATCCTAAAAGCCCCATTGATTAAGAATTAGATCGCTATTTAAAAGAAAATTTGTTTGCAAAAGAATGTCCTTTAGAGTGGTGAGCGGGGCACCAAACAAGGTATTTAGAGCTGGCACGTTTAGTACGAGTGTTTCTATGTGCACATGCAAGCACCGTGTATAGGGAGCGATTATTTTCGGAGGCTGGTAACGTCTACGAAGAAAAAAGGAATAGGCTGCCAGAACGTGCGAGAGCCAAGGCTTTCTTTTCAGTTTCTGCATCATAATTTACCTTTATTAAATTTTAAATATTGATTTTTTCATTATCCTTTTCCTAATTGTGTCTCATTACTACCTGTTATCATCATTACTGTGTTATCATTATTGTGATTGTCAAAGATTTCCCAAATTAATAATAAATACTTTTTGATTAACACTGTTGTTTTAATTATATCGATTTACCAAAATATATTGCTTTACTTAAATCGAGTATACTCGGCATTAAAACCGAGTTATTCAGCCGAATACAAGAATTAAAAAACCCGCCGAGTACGCCTAGTACCGAGTATCAACCGAGTACTCGGCCCATCTCTATATAGAATACAGTTAAACTAACAAATACAAAATCAATCTGGTGGTAAGTAGATGCTGTGTCCCAAAGACACGTACAACGTTCCTCGTTGCGATGTAAATGCATTGTCACACTTGAGGACTAAGTTAGAGTGCTTTTGATTAGTAAAAAAGGTCTCTACTCACCATATCAAACAAAGCATCTTTAAGCTTCCATTTTTCATTAACCCGTTCTTACTACAATCACTATCAACACTCAAACTGCAACATGGTTCTATTACCAATATGACGTACGTAGTGTTTAGGGGCTGCGAGTAGCAGAAAACACACAATTATGTAAGTGTAGCCTTTTTTCTTTTTGTATAAGAGAGATGGCAAAAGAGCATACGGTTCATCTGATGTTAAGTGACTACCGCCGCCCATAAACAACTGCAACACCAGGGGAATTTCAGGTGCATTGCCGGCCTTTAAGAAGGGAGTAAGCTCTTTTCTTGCAGGTTCCTAAGTCGTATCGGTCCGGAAAATTCGCCGTCGGAGTAGTTCACCACTGCCGATTCGCCGGTGGTAAACTATTCCATAGAGGTCGTACGCGGAAGAAAACTCCTAGTGAAACGTACCATTGTGGACCGTCAAGCATCCAGATGGTGTGGATGGTGTCTTAAACTTGACCAATTTCTTCTGATTACAATTCCTCTGATTAAAACATTAATACTTATGTATGAGTAATCTAATGATTACCCCATAGAAGATTACCGTATAAGAAGCTATAAAAAATATAAAATAGTACATTATTCTACTTTAGTAAGGACTATAATTATTATTGTGTTGTGATGTTTTCAGCCTAAAAATTATTACTGCCATTGCCATTGCTCAAATATATCCTATATTTGCAGGTCTGCAGATACAACCAATAGTTGTATATGTGGTCAGTCCATCAGAAAGAAAGAAAAACTGAGACAGTAGATGACATTATCTTTCTGATAACATCAAAACTACAATAAAAATTTCAGCTGCCAACCTCATGAGAACATCAATGGCAAGCACGTCACTCACCTTCGAACTGCCGACGATATAGTCCTTATGGCAGAATCGCTGGAAGATCTAAGCACTGTACTCAATAACCTTAATAGTGTCTACCAACGGATTATCCTTAAGATGAATATTGACAAAACAAAGGTCGTGTGTAACATCCACGTCACACCTATGACGGTAGTTGTCGGAACCACTGCGTTCGAAGTTGTCGACGGGTATGTTTACCTAGGATAAATAGTATGACTAAGTAAATACAATTTTTATACGTGGTAGGCCATACTGTGGTTATATTTGTATGGTTTTAGCACGAATGGGTTGGCCCGACCGGGGAAGGACCACACTCTCACAGAATATCAGCGTAAAATAGCAGTTCAATGCTGCTGTGTTTCGTATGGTGAGTGTAGAGAACCGGATACCCTTTTTTACTGGAAACAAGCCATTCCATCTTAGTCCTCAGGGGTGGCGAAGCATCTGCATTTGGATTCTTCCACAGCCTCTACGTACCATGAGGTAGACTGTGTACTCCTTTGTCACTCATTTTTTTAAAAACTTCGACCGTGAGGTCAATCGATGGCTCTAACTCAGCTGGGCCACATTCTAGAGATTACGACACATCTTCTTGTCAGGTATACCTCGAAACCTGAAAACAAGATTGTACAATCAGTGCGTGTTCAAACCGCGCTTTGGGGTATTCCTTGGGAAAGGCCTATGTCCATCAGTGGACTTGATAGACTTGGTGACAAGAGCTGTAATGAATGAATGCATGAATAAGTTCCCATAGTATTAGCTAAACAATAATGCAGCCTAATCAATTTACTTTATCATCATCATCATCATCACAGCCTATAGAAGTCCACTGCTGAACATAGGCCTCCCCCATAGATTGCCTGATAGGGGGATTTTGCCATAGTTGACACGCTTGGTGAGCGGGTTGTCGACCGCAGTTCTTTATTTTATCAAGAATAAGAAATTTCAGTTTTCCTCCGTCACCTTTTACGATACCCACGGGACGAGAACGGTAGTGGATATTCTTACAAAGCCACCATATGGTTTAATTTACTTTATACTTAAGTTATATTGTATACTGTAATAAAATTGTCTATGTTCTGAATGGTTGTCTGATTTTACTCGTTTGAAGTGTTCCTATAACTCCACACCGCACATAAAGAGAGTCAAGCTCTACATTTTGTTAAAGCAAAAATTGCCGCTTTATATTCAACAATTCAAATACTTTTTTTTCTAAGAACTAATATATTTTTTTAATCGAAGTATAGATTTCTGCCATCTTGAGAGAAGATCATTTATGCCTTTACAATAGAACTCAGGGGATCTGGACCGGTAAATTCTATGAAGGCATAACATTATATTATACCGCTTCCTACATATAATTTTTTTTCATTAATACAGGTAATTATGCAAATTGCGGAAAATATGATTATTGATTGGATCTAGTTGTGGAAAGTACGGAGGATGACGTATGGTTTCCAAATTCAGACAATGTTAATATGGTTAGTCGAGCTTTGTGAGGTCTTGCGTTATCATGAAGTAATAATGGAGAAGGTCGATGGACGTGTCAGGGTTATCCCTCTAAGAGCTCCACCATCAGTGTTTGAAGTTATTCACATTTAGACATTTACAGTTATTGATACATCAGATATCAAAAAGCTATAGTTAATTTATCGTATGAGTGACCTCCAAACAGTTACTATTACTTTTCTATGGATGATCTGCGTTACAGGGCATTGTTTTGGTATTTAACGCTTGCGATTGTTAAATTTTTTTACTTTTATGCACGACAAGTGTATATCGTACTTAAGGCAGAGATGAACATATAGAAGGTAGTGTAACAAAAAAATAAGTTTAACAATTAAAAGAAAACTATGGTACTTAAGGGTAATACTTTACTACCCTATAAAACCAAATCTAGGAGGAGGACAGAGACAAAAACAAAGTTGTATACTATAACTAATACATTAAGAAAAAAAACTAACAAGCTTTGGCAATAATTAGGAACACTTCAAAAAATCAACTTATAAAAACTATATATAGTTTTTATAAGTTGATACATAATATTTTAATTTGCCGAGCCGTGGTAGCTCAGAGGCTAAGGCGCTTGATGTGAATTTCATCGAGAGAAGGATAGAGTAGGAAGTCAATGGATGTAGGTGGCTGCACCGTGGTTGCTGCGGACTTGTGACCAGCAACCCAGGTTCATTCCCCGATTAATCACATGCTTGGCGGTGAAGGGAACATCGTGTAGAAACCTGCATATGTGAACAATAAAATATTTCGAAAAAGTGAAGACTGTCAAACGGACCGTAAGCGTTAAAGTTACTGACATAGGTCTCTAGACACTATACATAGTATCTAGCCACATTGTCCACACTTGGGAAGTGGGTTGACTATCGTGGTTTTTTTTAAGTTGTGATTAGGAAGATGCTGCTGCCCATCTTCTTGTATATTTCCTGCTGTCGTCTTCTACGACACCCATGAGACGATACGAGGTAGTGTATATTCTTTCACCACCACTGCAATGGCGCGTATCGGACTAATTGTTCCATTACTCTCAGAAATGAACGGTTTATGAAACAATTAGTTATACAATCGCTTATTGATATCCGCAACTAGAGCTATCACGACACTACCGCCGCCACACGCCAGCGTAACATTA